CTAGGAAACCAGAAGGAGTCTAGATGAGACTGAAGCTGGTACAATGAGTGCTCCCACTACATTGATAGGGCAGTACTAATACATATACTGGAATCGCAGCCGAGCATCCCAGACTAGAAAGCAGTGGATTTCTTGCTTCTGCCACAAATTCCCCCAGCTGTGAGCCTTCCAACCTTCTAAGTATTCCTTTATATGTGGTTCAGAGTTCTGGGACCATCCACTGAACCTGCTTGGTCGGTTATTCTGTGTTGTTGTTGGCGGAGCTCTCTGCTATACATCCACCCGATCCGCCATCTTGTTTGTTCCCCCTAACTGTATAATTTTGGGGGGTTTAATGATAGAGCTTTTTTTGAGGAATTTGTTTTGTTTGTGTTTTAGTTGTTTTATTTTTATGGTACTGATATAAAATTACAAAACAGTATTTTTTAAATGACGAATTGTATCTTTTATTTTATTTATAGGTGTTGACTTTAAAATAAAAAATGTAGAGCTAAGAGGAAAGAAAATTAGATTACAGATCTGGTAAGTGGAAGCATGTGCATCCCAGAATGTGCTGTATGTATTTATCATCATTCCATGTGCTTGTCTAATAAATTAACGCTTATGTGCCTCTCCTACTTTTCTTCTGCTCTGCTCATTTTTATATTAAATGGATAGTGCTTGCTTCCTTCGAGAGAGAATTTACCAGTCTTATTTTGTTCTCCATTTGTACATGGGGAGTTGTGGAAAGAAGAGTTATTTTAATGGTAACTCCGAAGGAGCTCTGGTAGCGTAGTGGTTACGAATCCGGCTGCGAACCTTAAGGTCAGCAGTTCGAAACTACCAGCCGCTCCGCGGGAGAAAGATGAGGCTTTCTACTCCCGTAAAGATTTACACCCTTGGAAACCCTGTACAGGGTCGCTATGGGTCGGAACCAACTCGACGGCACTTCACAACAACAACAATGGAGCCTTTATGCTTCTATTTCCAATCATGTGACATGCATCACTGAAATGACTGCTCAGATGCTTGTCTCCATGTCTTTAAAGTTCTTTTATGTGATGGTATTCAGAGGAAATCTAATACATTCATAGCCCGATTAGCTCAATTTAAAGGCCAGTCTCCCATAGGAAAACTCAGAGACTCTTTTTTTGTGACTCCAGGTGAGTATGTTTAGTTGAGGGGTAAGTCAGATCCTTTCAAGTTGTGAGTCCTCCATTGATGCAGGCTGGAAAATTAGTCCAGGGATCCCTTCATGAAGAGATGCCACTGTCTCAAATCCTAATCTTATTGGGAGTAAGCCAGCGAGGACCTAGCTGTGTTCAGTGCTTACAGCTTTCTGCCCACTATTAACCAGTGGCCCCCAGGGGTAGGTGTGCACTGTGCCTCCTGCAGTGCTCTCCGGAAGGAAGGAGACGGGGCTCGTGGTGGTGGAATAGTGGCACCAGGAGGTTTTCTAAGAACGCAGTTTTATTTCTCATGACACAGATGCATTCAGCTTACTAACTCCTCTCGGCAGGTTACTCAGCTCTGAGTGTTTGTCCACCATGTGTGTGTGTGCTTTCATCTGCGGTACTTGCTGCTCATCTGTGGCATCACCAGTCACCTAGTGCGTGAATGTTAGTGGCATGTCTTCATTCCTCACCTGTATCCCCCTATCTGGGACACACTGCAACCGAACCAGCCTGCTTGCCTGAGGTAATACCTTCATTTGGTTGTCTTTCTCTACTCACCTTAAAGATTTTGGGGTTTTGTTTGTTGTTTTGGGCCTGATGATGAACATTAACAGTTTTGCCTATACTACAAGTTGAATAACAAAATGTGCATATTACACCATGACTGAAAAAGGCCATGAACTTTGTTTTGTACTATATTCCTGTTGTGTGAAGTCTGAAATGACAACTAAGCATTTTGCATGGAAGTTGCTGTTTCTAAGTGTAAGCTCATTGAAATAAAGACAACGTCTTTAGAGGGATTTGGGGTGTGTCCATTTCTGTGCCCAGCACCTGTGGATGAAAATACTTTTTTGGTGAGATTGCTCACAAAGGGCAGTCCAGCTAACATTGGAATGTTTGAGAAGCTTGCTGACACCTAATGGCTGCAGCAGCATATCTACAGGGATACGGCGTCTTTGATGTAGTGAGACTTCAGTGCTCATCTCTGTCAGCTCTGACAGTCCCGGTGCCTCCTGGGAATGCAGCCCGCTAAGACTGCCCAATGCTAGGGGCATTTGATGCCTTTGGAGTCTAGCTAACTATAGTGCCTTTGACTCTGAAATCAGAGTGCCCTGTCTTATCAAAAGCATTCTCCAAAATAACTCCTCTGCTTTGCCTTGACTCCTTTGCCTTTTGGTCTCTAGTTCTTTGTTTTTTAACTCTTTACAGCACTGGTAAAGAATATAACTTGTGAAGTGCTGTTGAATTGGTTCCCACTAATAGCAACCCTGAGTAGGGTTTGAACCACTAATCATGTGGTGAGCAGTCCAGTACTTATCCTATAGCACCATACTGGGACTACAGAGACTATAAAACTAAGGAAGGCTAAATAAAAAATAAAAATAAAATTCACTTAGTATATTGAAAGTTTGGTAGCAGGTTTCTACCTAGACTGTCCCAGTGATTCATTAAGATGTAGGACATGTCTTTTCCTGATGAAGTTTTTAACAGTAAATAATATGATACATCAGTTCCTTGGTTAATCACATAATACTCCAAATATGATCTGTATCTTCTGAAGTATTTTGAAAGTTCAAAAAACCTGTGTCATCATTATTACTGTGTTCTTGTGGTTGTTGATAAGTGCCTTCGAGTCTGTGGCCCTGTAAAGAGTTTCCAAGAAGTGGCTAGTAGGTTTGAACCGCTGACCTTCCGGTTAGCAGTCTAGTGCTTATCCCGTAGTGCCACACCAGGGTTCCACTATTACTTTACATTGGATAAAAAGTATGTATTGGAATCATGATTCTAATTCTTGTTGTTGTTCCTGCTGCTGTTTGTGTACCAAGTCAATTCCCACTCACAGCAGCCCCGTGTGACAGAGTGGAACTGCCCCATAGGGCCCTAGGCTGTTTCCTTTACAGGAGCGGATCACCAGGTCATTTTTCTAGCCCAACCACTAGTGAGTTCAAACCACCAACCTTCTATTCGCATGCAAGTGCTTTACCCCTGCACCACCAGGACTCCTTTAATTCTTACCTCTTACTTAGAGTAAAAGGAGTACTGATAGTGTAGTGGTTACAAGTTGGGCTGCTAACCTCAAGGTCAGCAGTTCGAAACTACCAGCTGTTCCAAGGGAGAAAGATGAGGCTTCCTGCTCTCTTAAAGATTTATGGCCTCGAAAATCCTATGCAGGGTTGCTATGAGTCAGAACCGACTCCATGGCACGTCACCACCACCACTCAGTGAAGTGTGGCTTGTTTGGCATATGAGCAGTCGTTTGTCTGGTGCTGCTGTACCTGCTTTACGGCACACCGGGGTGGTCAGCTGTGCAGACTCAGTAGACAGTGCCATGTCTGTGGTAGCTGAGCTCTGACTTTCTGGACCACAAACTCCTGAGATCTTTGCTATTTGATTTTCAGTAGAGAAAATACATTTTTCCATGATGATTTCTGGGTGCAACTGATATAACAGTTTTTTTTATTTACTATAGATTCTGAAGAGTATAAAGTACCAAAAGCTACAATGTCATTGTCTTATTTTTCAGTTCCTTGATTATTTGTAGCCAGAAAAGGGACCATTTTACTCATCTCTGTACTTAAAAATTACTTCTCCGTGTATCTACGGTACATAAATCTTCTAAAAAAAGCGCTGATGGATGGTACTTTGGATATATGATGATAAGTCAAGAAGTGCTGCTACAAAATCATAGAAACCTTATTAAAGAAAAATATCAAAATGTGACTCTTGCTTCTCATCATATCCTACACCTGGATAGGTTACTTCTGAAGGCAGTGTTTCCATCTCTCCAACCCTTCCCCAAAGAATTCTACATGCTTCAATTTATACTGCGTGTAAATTAAATCCCCAAGGACTCAGATCATGTTCCTTTTAAATGTTCTTTGAGTTTAAGGAACAAAAGAAGTCTCAAGGCTGTAGAGTGAGTGGGGCAAGGTTTCCTAAGGAAATGCTTTTGGGGCCGTCCATGCTTCCCTCGGAGAATGCGCGGGGGCCTTGCCATCGAGCACCTTTTCCTGGCCATTTTCTCACCAGTGCAGTTTTCTGTGTTCTTAAAATTTCTTCAGGATAAGCCCTCATGGTGTCCTGTGTTTCCCCTTTGTTGCCCCCCAAAACCAATCTCCATAACCTTCTGACCTGACCTCTTGGCCTTGGTTTCACTGGCCCAGCAGATACCCTTAGAAGCCATTGTTTGGATGGATTTTTTTTTTTTTTTTTAAGGCAACGAAACTAAGACAATTACAATACTAAAATAACTTTCCTGCAGCCATTCACTGATCACAGAGACATGTTTAAACAAGTTTTGTATGGGATAAACCTCTGTGTATATGGGATAAACCTGTGCGTATATGGACTGGAACTCTAGTAGCAAAACTTCATGACTTCACCTTATACATTTACATTGTGATGGTGGTGGTGATGTGCCGTGGAGTCGATTCCAACTCATAGCGACCTTGTATAGAGTTTCCGAGGCTGTAAATCTTCAACGGGAGCAGAAAACCTCATCTTTCTCCCATGGAACAGCTTGTAGTTTCAAACTGACGACTTTGAGGTTAGCAGCCAGACTCGTAACCACTGCGCTACATTAAAGTACTGTACTGGAAATTATACAAGGTAAACGTATACTCATTGTTTTGAAATAACTTGAATCCCTGTCATTTGTCTTTAGGCAAACATAAAATTAAAATTACTCATATTGTTGTTAGGTGCCACTAAGTTAGTTCTGACTCATAGTGATGTATGCAAAACAAAGTGAAATTCTGCCCAGTCCTGCAGCATTCTCACACCTGTTATGCTTGAGCCCATTGTTACAGCCATTGTGTCAGTCCATCTCATTGAGGAGCTTTGTTTTTCTTACTGACCCTCTCTTTTACCAAGCATGATGTCCTTCACTAGGGACAAGTCACTCCTGATAACATGTCCAAAATATGTGAAAAAAAGTCTCACTGTCCTCACATCAAGGAGTATTCTGCCAGTACTTTTTCCAAGAGAGACTAGTTTTTTTCCTCTGATAGCTCATGCTATAGTTAATATTCTTAGCCAACACTATAATTCCAAGACATCGATTCTTCTTTGGCCTTCCTTATCCATTGTCCAGCTTTTACGTGTACATGATGCAACTAAAAGTACCACAGATTGGGTTAGGCATGCACCTTAGTTATCAAAGCAGCTTTTTTATACTTCAAAGAAGTCTTTTGCATCATGTTTGCCTAATGCAGTATGTTGTTTGATTTATTGAAGGTCGTTTCTATGGGCCATCAAGTACAAGTAAAATTAAATCCTTTAGTCTATAAATCCTCCTGGTCTCTGTTTGGAAATTCTGCTGTACACCAGCCATGCTTCATGTTGGCATAGTGCTCATTTCCTGCTTAG